AATACAAAGCTTCCTTGAACAATTCTCTTGTATTCTTTCTACCATTCTATTAGCGTCTTGAGTGTAGTAAGGCTGACTTGGCATAGCAAGAATGTGGGCAAGTTGTGCAAGATCGTGAGCGAGTAGTCAAGTGTCACACGTGTACTTAGTTAACAACTAAGAACGTGACAATATTCTATAACATTTAATGAGCAATCGTTACAGAGAATATTTGCATTCATGGCCTGTCGTTACATGCTCATCAATGACTCTTTTATTATCATTTAAGAGGAGTTTAATCCTAGGATCTCGTGTCTCCATATAAAATTATAAGCCATTGTATGGACACGAAATAATTTCTGCATACTAAAGCTTTATATCTTGTTACTTTTGCTCTCAATTTAACAACTTTGCTTAAACTTGATCGCTTATTCTCATTTTTGCTCTCGGAGATATTGCGTTCGAAGTCAGGCTTGTCATCTTCTTCAATTTCAATTACTAATCTTAAGATTTATTTTATCTCTTTATCATCTTTTGGATCAATTCAACTCGCTGGTTTATTAACCACATAATAAATTCAATTGTATTATTTTACGAGTAAATAATATACATATAGTAGATGATGAAATCTTTTGGTGAAAATTTTGATACTCACACCCTCGCTAATCTGATAAACAATGCTCCAATCTAATTTTGGCTTATATGATATTAGATGATGGCTCAATCACTTTTACAGTTGAACCCATCCCATGACTGTGGATGAGAGAAATCCCATTTAGTAATGACCAACAAAAGTTAATTTCCCTTTCCCTGTTCTGTACCTTGCTCCGATAGGACTACCTAGACTATAAACAAAATTATTTGGTCATTCTGATTTGTGCAGTTGTACAAATTAAAGAGGAATATGAAATTATGAACTGAAGAAGTTAATAAGCAGGTTATGCCAATTATCATGAATACGAAAATCATCACTCGCCTCCATCTCAGAAATGTTCGACAAGGTTGCTAATTAGGCAAGCACCTCAAGGAAACCTTGCCATTTTTTGATAATCTCTCGAGGAAGAGAAGAAATAATAAAACAAGAATTTGAAATAAAGTTGGAAATATACGGTAAAAACGGTTCTTTGTATGAAGCCTAAGAAAAGATGAGGAGGAGAATGAGATATTGTTTGCTGTTCAAGAATTCTTGTTTAGGCAGTTCATACCATCCATACATAGTGTTTTGATCTAAGATTTCAATTCTTCCGTGTTTCAGCAGTAATATATTCTTCCATGGAGCTAAGGTCCAAAATATGGAAGAAACAAGCGTTTCCACGACTCTACCACCCAGTCAATTCTGTTCCACTTAATCCCTCTTTCATGGCCACATATCTTTCCAGCTAAGGAATGGGAAATCTTTCTCCTGTTACATGAATCCAATTTTCATTTCATCGGGGAAAAGCCATCCGGGGTGAACAAGAATTGGGGATCGGATGCGGGCGAAATTCCCGCCAATGGCTGAGATGTTCAGTCGACTCCCTCCCCCTTTGTGGGGGTCCCGACCCCTACGAGTGAGCAGAAAAGGGAGGAGGAAAGAGGCCCTGGTGAACTTCACAAAAATTTCTGTAATTGATCAAGAGTCGAGATTTAATATGTTAAGTTGCCACTTAAGAGTCTAAAGACAGAAAAAATATCAAGAGTTTATATGGGATGACCCTGAAATCTTAGTGCATTGAAGTGAAAAAACAAAACCATTAATGCTGAAAATTCTACAAATTTAATTCTTGTAAAAACAAACTTTATGGAATATATATATATATATATATATATATATATATATATATATATATATATATATATATATATATATATATATGTTATTATTAGGGGTGTCAATGGATATTTAAGAGCCGACTAAACCAATCGAACCATACCGTATCGAACCGATTTTTAGGTTTCTTTTAATAAAACGGTAGGTTTTTATAAAAATGTATAACCGTACTGATAATTAGGGTAGGTTTTTTATTTTATAAAAATAAATTAAAAAAATACCGAACCGTACGGAATAAATTTACATGTGAAAATATATTTATATATTAACTTTAAGAATAATAATGTATTAAAATTTTCCTTGGGCCTTGGAATAGTGAAAACAGTTACATGCAAACATGTAATTAAACTCAAAATCTTAATTCCTAAACCCATAATGGTACTCCTATTGAAACTAAATTATTTTCAATATATTCACTAGCAAGACACAAGTCTAGCGATTAGTAGCATACTACAATGTATTGAATATGTTTCCTTTCATATGATTTAGATTTATCTTTTTGAATATTTAATCTTCTATAAACTTTATTCTTGAGTTCCAGCTTGGTTGATATCTTTTCACTCGGTTAATATATTTGTTTAGTTTCTTTTACGCTGCTGTAGAATAGTTGATGGATATATGTATACTCTGGCCATCTTTAATATTTTCTTAATTCATCACCCTTTAAAGAGTAAAAATATCTAGAGAGTTTGCTAAGTCCTATAAAAGTACGTATGTTATTCATTCTACTTTTACTAGTGACTTTTACATGACATTTAAAAAAAATACCGAAAACTAACCGAACCATGCCGATACCGAAGAGAAACCGACATGATTGAGACGGTTTCAAAAAGTCTAATTTTGGTTATGCATAATAGAATATCCGAAAAGTTGGTGTGGTACAAATTTTAGAAAATAACCGTCCGAACCGAACCATTGACACCCCTTCTGGACCAAGACTATTTAATTGCTCTTTCGGAAAATTGGAATTACTATTTTAGTTGTTAACTATACCTTTACACAAAAAAAAATATTCTTTAATTTTCCGGTGAAATATTTATTATTTGTTGATAAATCTAAAGCTTGTGCCTTTGTCTTTTTCATATTGGGTCTTAGTGCTCCACCAATGATCTGTACCTCTCCAACCTTATACTAGTAAGTTTTACGATCCAAGCCCATGTCACGTATTTTTCACTTTGGCCCAGTAGACCTCGTTGATTTGTCCCTTGGGCTACTACTATCATGGAGCCCAAAAGTGTGTGTGCCATGTGAACTTGTGTTATGCTTTATAAAGCTCTTTTCCATTTCGATGTAGGATTTGCCTAGTCTATCATGTACACCTCTTCTTCCAGAAGTTTGCTAGCCTAGAAGTCTGTCAGTCCTTCTCTTTAACCCGCTGTCATCGGCTCACCCTCCGTTATGGGTGTCTGATCACGCCCAACTATGCCTTATAAAAAGACCTCTGCGGACGTTGCAAATATAACCCGAGTATTACGCCCAGGGTCGAATCCACAGAGAGTTAACCTATCAACCGCTATCTTCAGACCCACTAAGTCTTCAGAACCAGCTTCCCAAATATTCAAATCTCAGTTGAGTGTTCTTTAATAACTAGCTTGCAAATAACTAAATGGCTGTAACTAAATTAAAAGGGTTGTAAACAATTATGAGAAAAAGCTAAGGCAATGATTTCCCCTATTGATGGAATCCCTTCTGTTTATGCTCATACAAATTTACCCACACATCTCTATCAATCATGAATGCTAATCTTGCCGCAAATCTCTCCCGAGTAATCACAGTAATCTACTATTGCACTCTCCCGAGATACACTAGCTTGCTTTATTTAGCACAATTCAATTTAGATTGCACTCAAGGCTTCGTTATTCCTAATCCCGCCTTTAAACCCACAATTATAGATTCCTCTAATAATTTAGGAGTGGTGTTGTTCAACAATACCCTAAATATGCACTCTTTTCCAAGTTATGCACACTAAATAGGCACAGCTAATTGAGGATCCTGTCAATTAACTACAACGAACACGAAGTTGAACAAATAAAGATTAAACTAGCAATTTGTATTCACATAAACAAGAAGTTCATCACCCAATAGGTTCCATCAACGCCTTAGACAAGGAATTTAGCTACTCATGGCTATGGGAAAATAAACTAAGCTTGAATTCATCATAAAATCAAAAGAAAAGAAGAAAAATGTTTAGAGTATTTTCTCCCAATCTTTTTCCTTGCTAAGAAACCTAAAAAATCAATACATGCCTCTCTTGGGCGAAGTCTAATGTTTTAACTAGGGTTTAGGTCTAAAAATCCCGTAATTGACACTTTGGTCCCTGAAGTTTACTGCGCCTGCCGCGGTTCTGCCGCGGTCACGGTAGAACCGCGGCCAAACACCCTCGCGGAATCTCAATCTTCTGCAGCTGCTTCCCATCGCGGTTCTGCCGCGGTCGCGGTGGAACCGCGATGGATCCAGTTCTCTGAATCTTCGACCTGTTTTTGCACGGGTCACTTAGGAAATTTCACAGTTGGCCTCTTTTTCATCACTTTTGACTCCAAAACTGCTCCTTAGCCGTCTTTATACATATATCACCTACAAATCATGAAAAACACTAATAAGAGCATTTTGTCATCACTTTTAGCATTAAAACTACACAAGAAGGTGATTATTTAAGGTGTGATTATAGTCAAATTCACATATTATCAGTGTCACAGTAAGAGTACCTAATACCAGTTAAGTACTAGCAAAATAGAGAAGAATATCTAGTCTTTGAGATAAAGCGCTGTCAAAGTAATTTGCAAGTCAAGCTTGTAATTCTTGCTTATGAGACCAATCTGGGGAGACATTTATGCTAGTACAAATCCACTCAACTTACTCTCCATGCCTAAATATCTCAATAATGTAACAAACATATAAGTGTCAAATGTGGCTCTTGCAACACTTAAACGACAATCTAAAGTCTAAACTATGTTACTTCATCCTTCTGGTTACTGTATAACATAGAAAAAGATTTTCCCTAACAAGTTTGGCACAGAAGTTATCATTAAGAGCTGGTTTTTAGTCTGCATATATACAGAGGTAACATTTCTCAATTTAGTTACTTTAGTGAATTGAAGTATAAAATGAAGCTTGACCCCACTTAACTGATCAACAGCACTACATAAATCAACTTTTTGGTTACAAGTTTCTCTATAAATGGAAGAGTCTGCAATGCATTTGGTGTCCAAGAAACCAAATAGACCAGAAAATGAAGCATTTACTTGGTTGTGCTATCTCAATGGAAAAGTATAAAGCCAATATAGCCATGCTCCTCACACAAATGTTTTTTGCAGGCATGGCTTTGTTTTCTAAAGCTGCAATATCTGAAGGCATGAACCCTTATGTTTTTGTTACTTATCGTCAAGCATTTGCTGTCCTCGCGTTGGCCCCACTCGCTGCCTTCTTCGAGAGGTTAATTTGTCCAACAATTTGTCTATCTCTTACTATGTCCATTTCATATTTGAGAGCTTCATTATTGAGTTATAACAACTATTTTATGTTACTTTTTTTCAATTAAATAGAAAGACTGTGGTCCCTTTATCCTACAACATCCTGTTGAAGATCTTACTGATGTCATTTCTTAGGTAAGTTCACTGTTAAATATTCAACTTATTGAACTATTGTTTGTAAATTTCTTTAGCCTCACTTGATTAATTCTGTGATATTTTCAGCACTCTAAGTTTGAATCTCTACTACTTCTCCATACACTATACAACAGCAACCTTTGCTGCAGCCACCACTAACATAATTCCATCCATAACTTTTGTTATGGCAGTTATCCTAAGGTAGCTATACTTAAAAATTGCCTGAGCAGCCTTAATTATATTGAGGATAAAAGTAAGCATATTAGCTAATAATCTCTGTTTTTGTCTCCTTTTTTTCTTTGTTCGAATCAAATATATAGGGTGGAGACTCTATCAATAAAGCAGTCACATGGAATGGCAAAAGTATTGGGTTCTTCAGTTTGTGTTTCAGGAGCTTTGGTTTTTGCCTTAGTTAAAGGGCCACATTTAAACTTCATGAACTGGTCTATGGGAAAAACAAAGGGAACTCATACCTCAAATTTTCATTATACTTTGAAGGAAGAATGGGTAAAAGGTTCACTAGTCATGCTTTTAGCTAACATAACATGGTCTCTGTGGCTCATTTTACAGGTAACTCTTCAGCCACATCCTTAAGTTTAAATGGAAAAAGAATTACAATATGTTCATTAATTGACACATATTGCTTCTCTTAGGTCCCTATTATAAAACAATATTCGGCAAAGCTACGTCTTGCCACCCTATACTGCTTGTTTAGCTGCATACAATCATCAGTTTGGGCAATGGCAATGGAAAGGAAGATATCAGCATGGAAGCTCAAATGGGACATCAATCTTTTTTCAGTGGCTTACTGTGTATGTTTTCTCATACACATGCAGTTTAAAATGACTTTTACGCTATCAAATCACCTAAAAGATAAATACAAGTAACCGTTCAAACATGAAAAATAAGGCAAGTAACCTGCTCCAACGAGTTAAAACACTATAGTTTTATAATTAATTCAGCAAAAAATATTGCAGGGTGTGATTGTTACAGGGATAACATACTGGTTACAGCTTTGGGCAGTAGAGAAGAAAGGACCAGTATTCACAGCCATGTTCACTCCATTAGCACTTATCATAACTGCTATAGTGTCAGCATTTTTGTGGAAGGAGACACTTTATATTGGAAGGTCCATAATCATATGTTATCCTTCTAATTTCAACTTAAATTATTCAACCCTTCAATTTTCTCAGTATAATTAAACTTCAAAAGCTCAATTTTCAGTACTTTTTTTTGGCAGTGTTTGTGGAGGAATATTGCTAGTTGGTGGACTCTACTTGGTCCTATGGGGAAAGAATAGAGAAGCAGAGAGGGAAGTAAATAAAGATCAAATACTGGAAACCAAGGATGGAACCACAGTGGAATGCATTACATTGCATTCTACATCAGTAATTTGATAGGACAGTATTAGGTTTTTACACTTATTTTCCAAAAAGCATGTCCACTAACAAGCATGGACTGTCCAATATTACCTAGCAAATTAAATAGATTTGGTTCTTATACAAAGTTTCAGTGCTCTCCAGTCTCATCATGATCTACTTCAAAGTAAAAACATAAAAGTGAAGTCTTACAAATCTTACTTTGTAAATTAAAGTTGCAGTCATGTGACTAGGAGGTCACGGGTTCAAGTCGTGGAAACAACCTATTGCAGGATAAGACTGCGTACAATAGACCCTTGTGGTCCGACCCTTCTCCGAACCCCGCACATAGCAGGAGCTTGGTGCATCGGGCTACCTTTTTGTACGAATTTTACTTTGATCATAGATACCATGTCATCCATGAATTCTAATAAAGTTTAACTTAGATACAATTGTGTCAATCGATCATTCATATACTATTAGGTCAATAAAAGGTAACTAGTCTATAAGTTGTAAGTAATTGTCTATTGAAATGTGGACAATCTAAAGAATAAGGTATGTGACATGTTATAACAAATTAAATCATCTTGATACTATAGTTTTTTTTTACCCAATTAGTTAGTATATAAGTACTCCCTCCGTTCACTTTTAGTTGTCAAGTATTCTAAAAATAAATTTCTATTTTTACTTGTCACTTTTCGCATATGAAGAGAAAAATAATTTTTTTTCCTGTTTTGTCCTTAACATTAATTACTCATTCCAAATTATTTTCCAAATCCATTAAGACTATACACCAATTAATATGGATATCATGTTAAATTATGTACTTTATTTCTTAAAAGGTGTGCAAAATTAATAATGGACACGTAAAAGTGAACAGAGGAAGTATAAGTTAAATCTTCTAGTACCCTCTCCTTCCCAATCAATGTATATATAATTTATATATACCAGCTAAAATAGTAAACACTAAATCTTGTCGGCTATTTATGAAACAATGCCCAAGATTAATACTCCCACAATAGGAATGAAAGCAGATACAGGACAATAAAGATTCTAATAAAATTGCATTGAAACAGAATTCAAGAAGCTGATGCACATAAATGAGCTAATTGGTATTTCATCTAATCGAAGGAGAGCATAGTAATTCAGGCACTATAACTGAGCAATGTCTACTAATGCATCAATAGTTAAGAGACGCCGAAACCAAAGTAACAATAAATTGAACTCAAGTGACCAAAATATGTGCTAAAAAAAGAATGAACAATTGTACATGTAGCGCATGAAATGCTATATATTAACAGGGTCAGGTACCCCGTTAACGTATAACACATATATTACATGCGCTATACCCCAAAACCTATTCTCACTTCTTACTGATGCTTGGATCTGATCTCCCCGCTGTAAAGCCTGCCATTAAAATTAAATTAAATCACACTTCAGCCAAATTGGCTATAAGAATTCATCATTTAAAGTAACGCATCAAATTCAATTGTCAGTAAAAGAAAAAAGGTAATGTAGTATTGAATTACATTTTCTTAAAGTTACCTTCCACTTAATTTCAACGATGACTGTTATTTCAATTGTTGCATGATGGATATGATTTGAGTGAGAAAAAAAATGTTAATTTAACAATAAAATTGTTAATCATTACTCCCTCCGGTCCATTTTAGTTGATTTTTTGCCCTTTTTTTGTGGTCCACAATATTTGATTTTTTCAAATATCAAGAAGGAATTAACTTTTTTTCCAAAGTTGCCCTTGGAGTAAAAAGTCGCAAAGTATCTGTTATATTTTCAATGAACAAATTAAAAAGATAGTAAAGGTTAAATATGGACAATCTCATTCTTAATTAATGTTAAAAGATGAATTTCTTAATATGTGTGAAAACAGTTAAAGATCCAATTAAAGTGGATCGTAGGGAGGAAAAACTATCTTTTTGTTCTAATATTAAATCTCCGATTTAATTTTCTAGCTATTTCCGGTTTGTAGATACAATAATATTTTTATAATCTAATGGTTTAAAATCATTGATCCGCCTTTATAAGGTGTCCACAAAAAACTTAAGTTATTATCATTGGCACTCGAAAATTTGTTTGCACGTGGTTTTCTTTTTGTATACGTTCAAGATCAGGTATGCCGGATCTCTCAGGCTCGAGGGGTCGCCTTAGGCCCGAGTTCAGATAAGGTCGAGTGCGAGCTCGATGGACCAGACTCGAGCTCGAAGACAGAGTACAACACCCGAAGACTGAAGTACGATGGATACCAAAGCCGAGTATGCTCAACCCCAAAATAATACCGTTATGGATTTGTAACAGAATGAGCGAGATTCCTTCCACGTCCTCAAATCATGGCGCAAATCCCGGAATAGAATTATACGATTCCGTACTAGGCGGTTAGACGGCTGTCCCAATAAGATTCCTTACTGTAAATGGAAATGTACCTTATTTAGGGCTCCCCTATTATATAAAGGGGACCCCAATCATTTGTAAAGATCATCTAATGATTGGTAAAGAATATACTCTCTACTTTTCGCTCATTGTTCATCACAATTGTCCTTTAACTTTATTGTTCTTGGTATCCCGAGGTCACTGAGCTCGAGGTCGATACTACTAAAGTAACACTGGTTTGATTCACTTATTTCTTTCATTTACACTTTATACTTCCTGATCGTTAATTGGTATTGAGCTAATCACATATCTTTAAAACCACAAATCAAATTTAATTGTTACTCGTATTTTCCTTAGAACCGGGCCCCTCGGTCTCGCTCTCCAAATGACCTCCAAGACGAGGTGCTCTTTTGTTGCCTGATGGCTCGGGTACTTTGCTCGAACTACCCTCAGAGATTTCTTTGGTTCGAGAATGAACCGCATCAGCCACCATCGGTTAGGCGGTCTTCGAAGCGTCAGCGCTTCCTCTTTTCCGAACTACCAACAGGCAGTCATCATCCTTCCCCTCTTCATCCTCATTCCGAAGGTGTTGGGCCGTTTCTGGAGACAGGGCCACGGTATCGGCCTTAGGCTTTCGAGCCTTGCTTTTCTTTGGCGTCGGGGAATTTGCAGGCGATCCCCTCTTTCTTTTCCTTTCCTTGGAGGGCTTTGGGATTTCCTCTTCACCGAGCGGGGGGCGGCCGCATGCAGTAAGTATTTCACTAAGGAACACAAGAATGCAAACAAGACAACTCACCATGGTTTTTAGCCTCCCATCGGCCCTTAGCCAGGTCACGCCAGCTGCGTTCCGCGTATGAAGAAGTGGAGGCTAGTTGTCGTACCCAACCTTCAAGGTCTGGGACCGCACCAGGAAACCAAGCAACAGCTACACCATCGGAAAGAGATTAGATCGAGAAAGGGATGTGGTCGGGAAAGAGTAAGGAAAGCAGAATATAAAGTCACTACCGATAAACCTGTACTTACGTTTCATGTTCCATTCCTCGGGGAATGGCATCCTCTCAGCAGGAATCAGGTCGAACGTCCTGATTCAAACAAATCGGCTCATCCATCCTCGGTCCTTGTCCTCATCGATGCTGGAGAAGAGAGATTTCGAGGGTCGGCGTTGCAGCTTTACCAGACCACCTCAATAAAGGCAAGGGATGTATAGTCTGATCAAGTGGTCGAGGGTGAAAGGCATCCCCTCGATCAAGCTCGAGAAGTATCTAATTAGGTAGACGATGTGCCAGAATGAAGGGTAGATGTGGCCAAGCGTCACCTGGTATTGTTGGAAAAATCAAGAATAACTGGATCTATGGGACCCAGAGCTGGATCTGCAGGACCCAACGTGAATGGGTAGGTATATACGCTTAAGTACCATGCCTTATGAGTGGTGATATCCTCTTCAGGGGAAGGGAACACCACATCTTTGTTCTCCCAGCTGCAGTCCTTTTTCACCTGCTCAAGCTCTCTTTCAGTTATCAAGCAGATGTATCGGGACATGGGCTCACATCGACCTGGTGTCGATGCAGGTTTATCAATTTTGAAATCGGATGTTAGTTCGCACGGCAGGGGAATACACTCCTTGATACGAGGTGGTACCACTGTTTTACTTCTGGCCGGCCGTGATGGCGAAGAGGCTTTTTCTTTTTAAGGAACAGTTTTAGATGTTTTAGCCATGGCGGTTTATAAATTTAAAAGAGGAGAAAGAGTAGATGTTGTAGTGAGAGCAAATTGAGAAGAAGGTGAACTCAAAGAACTTGAAGGAGCTAAGGAGATTTCATGAATGATTTGAGAAGTAAAATTTGCAAAAATCATGAAAGTGGCCTATTTATAGAGGCAGCTTAAGCGTATTGGGGAAGCCAAATAGCCGACCGTCAGCTGCCTCCAATTAATGATCTTGGGAACTATGCGAAAACGACTTTCCAATCACTTCGACTGCTGACATCACGAGATTGACATCATGATCAGGGCATCGGAAAATCGAGGATCAAACCGTTTCTTATCGTCTTACTCTAAGAAACGCGGGACTATCTGTATACGGGAAGGATCAGGTATGTCCGATCTCCCAAGCTCAAGGGGTTGCCTTAGGCCCGAGTTCAAATAAGGTCAAGTTCGAGCTCGATGGACCAGACTCGAGCTCGAAGACAGAGTGCAATGCCCGAAGATTGAAGTACGATGGATACCGAAGCCGAGTATGCTCAACCCCAAAATAATGTCGTTATGGATTTGTAACAGAATGAGCGAGATTCCTGCCACGTCTCCAAAATCATGGCGCAAATCCCGGAATATAATTGTACGATTTCGTACTAGGCGGTTAGACAGCTGTCGAAATAAGATTCCTTACTGTAAATGGAAATGTACCTTATTTAGGGCTCCCCTATTATATAAAGGTATTGCTGTATTGTGGTCCGGGCCCAGGCCAAACGCGCCTAAACAGGCCGGGCAAAACGGGCCTGGGCTTAGGCGGGCCCGGGCCAAACGGTCCCAATGGGTGGAACCGGCCCACGGCGGTCCTAAGCCCATATGGTCCCGGGCTAAATGGGTCGGGCCCACGGGCCTAACGGGCTTTTTCGTTCCGGGCTATTTTTTTTAAATTTTTTTTTATCTAAGGCAATTTCTTGTAAACTATATATGTATATACTAATATAAATTGCTTATATATAGCTATATAAATATATATAGTAT